TGTCTGTGTCTGTCTGTGTCTGTCTGTGTCTGTCTGTGTCTGTCTGTCTGTCTGTCTATATGATTTACATATATACATAACACCGCCTTTTTGTTCGAACGTCGCCCTATGCACAAACGCCCCACCTTCCCGCTTCAGCACCAGCTCCAGGTTTGCCTCCGAACACGTGGCAGGGAGGACAAAGGCTGGGCACACACGAGCGCCGTGGGAGGAAGGAGAGGGATGTGTAGGGATGTTTAGGGGGTTTATTTGCACTTGGCATCGGTTTGTTCAGAAGTTGTGCTGTAAGGCACACTGAAAGAGAGCTGAGCTGAGAAACAGTGTGGCCTTTTTGACCGAGCCGCGCCCCAAGCGGCTCCTTCGACATTCTCAACCATTCTTGGACAGTTTCCTTTCCTACCTCCCTCCCACCCGGTAACACGATCTTCGCCCAGCAGCCGCGTGCGCCGGGCAGGGCAGTTGCGTGGCAAAGTCCCATGCGACGGAGCCGGACGCCTGGAGGATGCGTGCCGGTCAAGGTGAGCGACCTGCAAACCCAAGGAAGGAACCTAGATATAGATATATATATATATATACATAATAGTCATGGCCTCTAACCTAGAAACGATGGCCTCCAACCTACTAATCATTGAGTCATGGCCTCCAACCTAGTAGCGACCTGTAAACCCAAGGATTGGCAGTATGGCTTGCCCAAGAGGCAGCTTCCACACCATGCCCCAAGACATAGATACTTTTGGTCTCTTAGAGTCTCTAAGAAGTCTTGGTATTGGAAGAACTTGGTTTAGAGATGTTTGGAGTGTTTGGCTTTGGGTGTGGTTAGGCGTTTTGAAGGTACTCCGAGATTCCTGGGCAGTTGGAGCATCTGTGACCTTCGGATGGATCTCCCTGCCATGGCCCGGTTCACATGGGCCCGGGAACCAGCGAGAGAATACACTCCAAGAAATCATCACGGAAGTAAATGATCATGGCACCCTCTACAAACAAATGGCCCCATCCATGTAACAATGGATTCTTTCGGGGGAAAGATTGCATGTTCTTCCCAACTCCCTTGCCGTGACCCATCGATCGTCACGTCGATGGTCCACACAGCGGCACCTCTGCCACCGCTGGGCTCCTGCTTTCGATGCCCTCCACCTTGACGCTGATGAAGAGCCGGTGGCCTTCCCAACAATAGGCTTGGGAGGTCTCAATCATGGACCCGCGCCCCCACCGGCCATTTTCTCCGGATCCCAATAGTTGAAGCCTCTTATGCCGCCTTTGGGGTTTTACTTGAACCATCTGCTTGCAGCCCAGAAACCGCTGAAGAAGCTGCCTGATCAACGACCAAGTCCAACACCGATGTTTGCACTAGCAAGTGGTTGGGAAACTCTTTGCGGCCCAGTTGTTTCAAAAACAAATGGTCTTCTACTAAGGGTTGGCAGCAGTAGCACACATGGACTTCCATGGTTCACTCCAAACCAGCAGCTGGCACATGTGCGCGTGCTCGCTCGCCAATATGGCGGTCCTATAGGTACCCCGCGGCTGTTCTACTAGTGGGCCAAGTTGCAGCTGGCATCAAAGAGAAATTTGTGGGAAATCATCCTTCCCTGCTTCATTGCAGGATCTGTGGCGAGGCTCTGCCAGTGGCATTCCAAAGGATCCGAACGGAAGAACCAAAGGATGATATGGCAGAACAAAGGCTGGTCAGGGGGCGGGCCTTCCGTTACCGTCTCGACAAGCGGTGCTACTCCAAAGCATGTTCTTTTTGTTAGTACCTCACTGTCTATTATAAACTCCCATAATAATTAGGATATGAAGTCCCATCACCCCTCTGAATGACACCCCTGTTCTCAGAGAAGACTAGGCACGGCCCCACCGCACCTGTGGACTTGATTTGGTAGCAGTCCAAGACATGAACATCCAGCGTGCCGGCCATCGGCTTCTCCGGCACGAACGGCACGCGGGGCTGACGCTGTGGTGTTTCAGGGTGAGACATCGCAATTCTTTGGAGTTGCTAATGGTAACGGCCTCCAACCTAATAGTTGTGTGGGATGCAGAGACCAGTGTTGCGGTCACATGGACCTGGTTCGAATTCGCATGGACCTGTGTGTTCCACCTGCGGTGGGTCCAGAAAAGGCATGGGATTCTCGGCGGACGGTCTTTGGTGTGGCTGGGCCCAAGCCATGATGTGGTGGCTTGAGCTGACCACCAGGTGCCCCGAATGTGTGGTGGGTCTGCTACCGCCTACGCTCGAGCTTCTGCCGCCATGAGACGCTTTCTGTGAGTCGGAGCCGAAAAGCTCTGGGGGGGGGGGGTAGTGGTAGTGACGTGTAGGTATCTCTCAACGTCTCAGTGTGTCAATCTCCATGTCCTTCTAGGTGCTATACATGTATACTATGTAATCATGTGTAAACACAGCCCCCTGAAGGTGACGCCACAGGCCCGCAGCCCCACACCAGCGGAATTCTGGCTTCTTTAATGCTGGTGTGCGACTTCGTGCTTGCAGTAGGGGCGTAAACGAATCCCAAAGTTCAAAAAGTGAAGGTAATCCAAGAACTATCTATCCCATGTTCACACATGTGCGTGCTCAGTGTGCGTTCATGGATTGCAATCAGAAACAAAAGCCCAGAAGAGGCTGATATTCACACATGGTGACACGGTGCTTTTGGAGATCGGTGCGCCTTCGATCACCATCCGCGCCTTCGAGCTTCGGCGCGGTAGACGGCCGGCTCCTCGCACGTTGGACGTTGGAGCCTGGCCTTGCCAATCTGCCAAAAGTAGGTTCTGAAGAGTAAGGCATTCAAAAAAGAACGTCTTAGACTCGGGCAACAGCGCTGAGCGCATCAAAAAGGTGTTGAGTGTGTTTCACGGCGATTTGACACGCCGTTGAAACGACGTTGAAACACGTTGAAAGCCCATCTTCGTGTCCGTCCAGACCTGCGCCTCCCGCAATCCCCAGTGGATGCCCACAACACGACTTGCGGGTTTCCATGCTTCAAAACCGCACCATTCGCACCCACAGGAGGGGCCCCACACAGGGCCCAGGCACCTGGAGAACACCACGGTCTTGAAACCGTCCTTCTGCCCGGATGGACACCACGCCACCCAGGCTGACCTACTTCGGTCCCTCAAGCACGGTGAACATCCACCCACCCATCCCCCCGGGTCGCGACGGATCGCGGTCAAAGCATGTTGCTCACGGATCGATCACACGGATCTTCAGATCCGCACGGACGAGGGCTGAGCCGGGGCTCAGCTGAGCCCCTTCGGACCATGGAACCGGCCACTGCGTGTCAACATGAAATATCTTGAAGTGAAGAAAAACCTACGAGGATAGATCGTCTGAGTCTGCCCTCAGTGCTCCAAAAGCACCGGCGTTTCACAGGCCCGAGCAGCTCAACCCGATTCTAGGGCCATGCAGGCCAATTTAGCATTGACTTGAGCTCCTGCCCTGAAATCTTGCAAGGCTTTCTCCCAGACCATTGAAATCTCCTCTTCACAGATGATTGAGAGCCAGTGAGATTTCGCCGGCCAGGCAACTCATTGAAAGATAGGGCTAGACAAGCCTCTAGACTCTAAAGCAAATTCAACTCTTGCCTCTTGAAGAGCTGGGCTTGGCTCGTGCTTTCTTCGCCATCTCACCGATGCTAATGGCCCTCGGGCCGCCGAAGGCGAGCGGTGCTGACGCCACACTCGGCCGGCCAAGTTTGAAAAGGAAAGAGCCATTTCACATCCAGAAGGCCATCGGCTCTCACTTGGGCCACCTCCGCCTTGCACATGGAAGATACAGCTGGAGGCGGAAGATGCAAAATCATGATGTTCTTCTGCACTCCAGACTCCAGACACGGAGAAGAGAAGAGGAAGCGGAAGATGCAATGGTTTTTCTACCACGCACTTTTGCGCATCTGCCGACGTCTGGTCCGTCAATCTGTCAACTCCTCTCAACCACACGCCCCAGCCTGCCAGTAGCTTCCATGCCACAAGACCTCCACCTGTACTCATGGCCCAGCGGGCCATGAAAGCTGTATTGTGGTCAACCCATCGGAAAGTGCCTTGACTGCTGTAGGATGCCCATCTGCCACCCGAAGAACACATAGACATAGGGTTCCAACACTCCCTCAAATATGGCATATGGGTATTGGCAGTTGATAACTTGCCAGCTACCAAAAATGCGTTTAACACAAAAAAAGTGCTGAGCCTTCTCTCCCTTCTTGAACTCCAGCTCCGTCACAGACTGCTCCAGCACGCGTTCGCGCAGCACGCGGGCGATAGTCTGGGCAACCTCCGACAGCCGCGGTGCTGTGGGGAGATCGGTGAAGAAGAGGGGCAAGACCTTGGCACCAAGGTCCGGTGGAGACGCGCAGACGCGGCGCGCCGAACGAGACAATTCCGGTGCACGGATGCGTATGGAAAAAGCTCGACCCGCTCTGGTCCAGCCCTCGGCGAAAGACAACCTCTTTAGGATGGAAAGCGCCAGAAAACGCCAAGAACCACTGGAAAGACACCTGAGAAACCAGGTGACCCGTCACACTTTGAAAAGGGGCGGATCAGATCAAGATATTCAATTTTTGAGATTGACATTCAAATAGCTCAGAAGTGATATTGGCTCACCACAACCCGCTAACCTCAAAGCCCGCCTGCTCTGAGCTTCGGTACACGCGCAGGCTGCCTTGCTGGTAGCAGTCGTCCTTCTTGCAAAGGCGCTTTGGGATGCCTCTCAGCCACAGGAGGCACAGGAGTCGGGATGATTCATTGTGACTCCGTCATTCCAAGTTCCGCACAAATCGTTGCTTCAGGTCTACTAGCAGAGTGATTGCAACGGATTACGATGGGGTTGCCCTCGACCCTTGGGCTGATGCCACCTAAGGCTCACTGCCTCCCAACACCCCTCGATCAGCCGCCATTCCCACCTTTTCCGTGTGGAGTGCGGCCCATGTGTCCTGGAAAGGCCAGACAAAGGAAGCCGCAGCTCAAACCAGCTCCATAGGCTCGCCCGTAGTTCACATCCGTCGACGCGTAAATCCCCCGTCCAAAGGCCTCGCCATTCCTGGGATATGTTGGGATCGGTCGGAAGGCGCGCTGGCGGTCTGAGGGGAGTGGTGGGTCCTGCCCGAGTCCTGCCCGACATGTCATGGCTTTCCCACTTTTGGCCCTTCCAACCTTCCTGTGCATCTCCTTGCGGTGGACTGCCCGAGAAGGATGGCTGCATGCCGACACCGAAGTGACCACTGTGGCCCTTCAGGCTTTCCAAGTCCTTCCAATCCTTCCCCTAGAATGTGCGACCCACAAACAGCCCTTGCAGATCCTTGCAGTATCAACCGTGAAGCTACTGAAAACCGAAACTGTCTTTGGGCTCTCATGAAGGAGACCCCGTTCTGGCCACACCTGGAGGTCAGTTCTGGCGCTTCTGCCGCCATCCGGTGAACCCCGGAGATCCGTGGTGTTCAACCCCCTTCACTGGAGCCAAAGAAATGCAAAAGGAACGGAAAAGTCAACACCCCAGGACCATCCAAGGGGTCATTTTCTGCCTGGAAGTGGTGTCTTGTGCAGAAGTCCTGCACACCCTTGGATGGTCCTAAAAGCTTTCTCAAGCTCAACGGTTGCTGTCAGTACATGGATCTGCGTTCCATCGGCATTGGTGGCCCCCGGCGGTTTCAGGTTGTTCTCCTGGGCGCGAGCCAGCGCGAGCTACTCGTGCCGTGGGTGCCGACCTGGTGAGTTGGCACCCCTTCCCCCTAGGTCAAGAGGCAAGAGCTTCAGTCCCGAAGTTCCATGGGAAAACAAATCCCCAATGGCCAGGTCCAGCCGAAAATTCGAGACTGCGCTGGGACCTCCTTTCAAAAGAAAGAAAGAAAGAAAGAACGAACCTCGGTGAAGAAAGCATCCGAGCATCGATGATCTTGTTGACGTTTTCCTCGCGCGTCCAGTGGTAGACCACTTCGAGCCGGGTGGATTGGCTGCTGCGATGCTTCAAGGACCGCAGTCTCTTGACAAACTCCAACGCCACCTCAGCGGACAGACTCCAAGAAGCAGGATTCCGGGCAGCAAATGGAACATATCCACCCACGGCGGTGGGTCAAGGCTGGGAAGGTGGGTCAAGGCTGGGGTGGCTGTCTCACAGCAAACGAGCTTGGGGGAGGGCACGCTTCTGCCTGTCGCCCTTGCTAGCCAATTCTTGGGAAACGCTTGTGCTCCAATCTGCTTGAGCTCAGTCCACCAATAGATCCGGTCTCCAAACGTGACAAACGTGTCCGGTCTAAGAAGTGGTGCTTGGCAAGGCACATCAAAGTTGCAGACCTCGCGGGGTTGATTCATCCGAGGAATCACCTGGGACGCTGCTTGAAACGCCGGGGAAAAGGATTTGACTGGGAGAGGGGGAAAAGACACATCACTTAAGACTTAGAGCAAAACCAGGCCACTGAAGCTTCAGCCACCTTCTCCGGGGCCCAGCATTGGTAGGGCGGGTCCCACGACACCTGGTACTGCTGGCTGTGGATGCTGGTCACCCGCGCGGGATATCAATGGCCGTCGGACCAACGCACCAGCACTGGATCTCCTGGCGACACGTCTGCGATGCCCTTTGCTCCTAGTAGCGCCCTTGCTCCTAGTAGCGATGCCAGGAGCCCCTAGTAGCTTCTTGTTCCTACAGCATCCTGCAACCAATCCTTTTCCGTCCAATTCTCTGACCAGAAATCGTTGAGGGCCTCCAGACAGGATGAGACACCACCAGTCCAGTACTCCCATGTGACCAAAAGACTCACTACCACGAGACGACACTGGGGCGCATTAGATCAGAAAGGCTCACGGCTCCGATCGCTCGATTTCCTGCACTCCTTCGCCCATGACGCTGCGATTCCCCGGCAAGCCCGAGCCGCCCGAGCGCGCCATCTCCACGATCTGCGCCTGGGGTTCGCAGCTGCCGCAAGAGATAAGGCCAGCGCTCTCTGTGATGTGTGACTTGCACAAATTCCTGATTCATTCGTGACTTGGTTCCTACAAGCCTCGGAGCTTGGATGAATCCTTTGCTGACATGGCCTTCAGAGAAAAGCATGACCGCAAGTGTAGTCGGGGTGCCCCTGTCACATCCACTCAGTGGATGGGACTAAACACCACCCCCTTGTGGACTCCTGGGATGACCATCCTCCTATTGAAAAAAAGAACGAACAGCAAAAATGTCCTGCTCACCTGCGCAGAGATGGTAGACCACGAAAACTCCTCCCAATTCCCACCCGAATGTCCCACCGTTTGGATCCGTTCCGTCCCGGCTTTCCGTCCGGCTTTCCGTCCGCGTCCCCTCGGAGTCCGACCGGGGTGTCCGGACCGTAATGTCCACTTCTGACGTTGAACTCTTCAGGTCTTCATCCAGCATCTTCTCATGCATCTGGTGCGCAGCCTTGTGATCTGCCAAGTCCTCGGTCATGATGTCAAGGTCCATTGAAGAAGACCTATATTAATATAGATGGGGAGATGCCACATACCATATACCTACCTCTTGGTTGTGCACGACTTGGGGCATCCCCTCTACTAATCATAATCCACCGGCAAAGGCTGTAGGGGCTAGGCCACAACCTCCCACCGCCCCATGGAGGGTGGTATCCAAGCTCAGCCGAGGTGCTGACGCAGCAAACCTGAGACCAAACTGGGCACCGCCCGCTGTACGACATCCGCCAGGGGGTTGGTGGTCCTACCCTGAAGAAGGTCGGTGGTGGTAACTATCAATGAAGCATACTATCTGCATCTGAAGATGTGGATACTTTTTGCCCCTTACCCTGAGAGGCTGGCACCAATTGAGGAAAACGTTCGAGCTGTGGACGGTCCAGCAGCATTGCTTACAGGGCTTTCCACCACCACGAAGACCAGTGGCCAAATCCACATGCATGCCGGGAGGCAGAACACCACAGACCTGCTCAGGGAAGAAAGGCCGTGAAAGAAGCAGAATCAATAATCCAGGAGTCACAAAGGGGTGCGTATTGGAGGTTAGGGGTGTGCAGGACATCCACTCACTTGGGGACCAAACTGACATGTGACCGCTGGATATGACTTGGTCTTCCAACATCTTCCAACAAGTGTCTAAAGAGTCAACAGTGAGGTTCAAGGAGTGAGCACTAAGGCTTCTAAGGAGTACCTCGCGAGGGAACTTGGCTGATGTGGCTGGCAGTGTCGTCGGTCGCAAGACGCCTCACATGGGATCTGCGGCTCCTTTGATGAAGATGACGATGCACCTGGCAGAGCACAACGATGTCATGTAGAAAAAAAGGGTCGTTCAACCTCCTGCACGACCTCAATGTTTGCTTGGGTAGTGGAGTTCTGATGAAGTGTGCTGTAGGCATGACATCTTGCACCACACTCACTAGGCAAGATCGTTTTTTCTCTCTTGCATTGGGCACATCGTCGAATCGTGTCTTACAACAGCTCCTTCGCGTGGCCAAGCAACTGTGGAGTTGGGAGTGCTCCATGAAATGCCTGAAGAGCACCCACCTCAGTGAGTGCAAACCACCGAGAGGCACCACTGGCCGCTGTCGCACCACTGCTGGAGGGCCCCGCTTTGTTCGGAAAAGTGACCGAAGGCTTGCGAGATCTTGGAGACAGCCAGCATGGCCAGCTCACAAAAGTGAGCCCACCTGTGATTAACAGCCCCCCCTAATGAACAGAAGCTGTCCAATACAAATTTCGAGGGATTGACTGTGCAGGGTCTTTCCATTGATTTCGTCTTTAGGCCAAATTCGCCGAGCACAAGCCAAGCCGTGGGCGGTTTGCAACCCACTCACTCAAGTCTCCCTTCTGGTTCTGGCCATTTGCTGTTGGTGGACCATCGCTCTGGATCCAAGCTGCTTCCCACAAACTTCACACTCAATCTCTTCCAAGTCATCGGTGTCTGGCATCTTGGCAGCCTCCCAGCATGCAGAAGGCAAAGCAAAACATGGGTGTATTAGCTTGGGTCGGGGAGAAAATGACATCTTTTCACATTGCCTGATTCTATCTGCTACGGATCACTCGGCTAGCATTGAAAAAGGGTTCTACGGCAATCTTCCAGTGCTGAGGGAAAGAGATGAGAATGAGTGTGATGCACCTACAAAATACAGTTTACAAATCACTGCCCTCATTGAAGCTAGCCTGTGATACCTCTCTGTCCCCCTGAAGCTTGCCCACAGATTGTGAGGAGTGAAGTCTGGGAGGGAGTACAATATGCACTGGCCAACCAAAAAGCTTCAACTTCAAAGGGCTTTGCAGTGCTGCATCCAAATGTCCAAGTATATAAATCTTGGACAAAGAAGTATCACTCCAGTCCAGTGCCAATCGCCCTGGTTGAGTATCACAGGATCCCCCTGAGCTTCTTGCGGTTCTCCATGTCTACCTCAAAACCAAGCCAAACATCTCTTCTCCCTTGGTCACCCTCGGACAACGCGCCAACGCACGGCCTCGTGGGTCGCCAGGTGCGTCATGAAGTGCTCGAAGGCCACGTTCGCTCCGCACACCTCGCAGGGCACCTGGGCCGGTCGTCCGGGACCAAGGGCAAGGCCGTTCAGGTGAGTTCAGGTGGTCGTGGTCCCGTGCCATGTCTGCATCCCATGTGGCTCTTGGGCAACCGCGGCGTAGACATGGAGGGAACCAATGGCCCGAGAAGACGAGAAGTGCCAGTGTCCTGCAGCCAAGACTCGGTGGCAGTGTCCTCAGTTGCACTGTGGGGGTAGCTTCTTGCTACTAGTAGCGATGCCCTTTGTTGCTAGTAGCGTCCTTCCGGGGAGCCAGATGGTGCCTGCTTGGCCGGTCTAGGCATGGTGCCTCGGACTTGGAGGGTGTTGGGCCCCGAAGAGTCGGTGTTTGTTTGTTCCAACCCTGCTGCCAAAGACGAGGCGCAAGGATGACCACATCGCCTTCATCATCGGACACCTCCAAAGGGCGCGGGGGCCGCGCGGCGTCGCTCGGGGTCAACGGGCTACAGCAAGCAAAGCTCATTGAGGTTTGTGCGCCCAGGACCCCCCAAAGAGAACCCGGCCAATCCAAGTGCCACTAAAAAGAGGATCCAACCAAGACGAAGAAGAAGAAGAGGAAGAAGAAGAAGAAGCAGAAGCAGAAGCAGAAGCAAGAAGAAGGGAGAAGAAGAACAAGATGGAGCCCACGAACCCGAATGCAAACACGATCAAAAAGCTACATATGTCCAAATGACACTCTTGTAGGACACTCTTGTGGGACACTCTTGTGGGTCACTCTTGTAGGAAACTCTTGTGGGACACTCTTACGGGACACTCTTGTGGGGCACTCTTGTGGGACACTGTTGCGGGACACTCTTGTGGGACACTCTAGTAGGACACTCTTGTGGGACACTCTTAAGGGACACTCTTGTGAGACACTCTTGCGGGACACTCTTGTGGGACACTCCTGTGGGACACTCCTGTGGGACACTCATTTGGGACACTCTTGTGGGACACTCTTGCGGGACACTCTTAAGGGACACTCTTGTGGGACACTCTTGTGGGACACTCCTGTGGCGGGACACTCTTGTGGGACACTTGTCTTGTGGGACACGCTTGTGGGACACTCATACGGGACACTCTTGTGGGACACTCTTGTGGGACACTCTTGTAGCAGACTCTTGTGGGACACTCTTGTGGGACACTCTTGTAGGAAACTCTTGTGGGATACTCTTGTAGGACACTCTTGTGGGACACTCTTGTAGGACACTCTTGTGGGACACTCCTGTAGGGCACACACTCTTCGTACGAGACTTCCTCCAAAAGTCACGCTGCGAGGCTGCAAGACGAGCGTTTCGTACGAGACTTCCTCCAAAAGTCACGCGTCAAGTCTCAAAAACGAGCGTTTCTTACGAGACTTCCTCCAAAAGTCACACGTCAAGTCTCCAAAACGAGCGTTTCGTACGAGACTTCCTCCAAAAGTCACATGTCAAGTCCCCAAAACGAGCGTTTCGTACGAGACTTCCTCAAAAACTCACATGTCAAAGTCTGCAAAACGAACGTTTCGCACGAGACTTCCTCCAAAAGTCCAGCGGAAACACCCATCGGAGCACACACATCACGCAGCCCTGCCAAGCAGTTTCGCGAGTCCAGCCCCTCCAAACGACACCCGCTCACACGCCAATCCCAATGCGGCAGCGACATTCACCTCTACCACAACTCACAACCTCCCGATTCCCTGCGCCGGCCACGAATCTTTCCGCGTCCACACGTCTAACGCGCACAAAGTACTGTGCCTGCCACGAAATGTCACCTCCGTCACACATCGCAACCTCACGGTTCCTTGCGCCTGCCACGAAAATCTCACTTCCACACCTCAAAACCCGCACAAAGTCCTGCGCCTGCCACGAAAAGTAACAATGTCATCTCATGTGAGCTTCAACAAAATTTGCACCACACCACACGTTTGGAATGATTTCGACCCGTTCTGAGCACACTCCCATCCACCAAAATCGGCATTTCAGCTGAGACTTGTCACGAAAACAGAGCTTCGATGCCACACCCTGAAACGCAAATCCCAATGGCACGGCCACATCCAACACCCCAAAAACACGACTCTCCAAACGCTAATCCCAATGGAACTGCGTAGCAAACTGCGGATCTCACAAAACGCTGCGCCTGTGCAGCGAAACGCATCACGCGTCTTGTGCCACATCCCATTTTCATGCAAATCACAATGGAATAGCGGCGCAAACTGACACGTGACACATCCATGAAAAGTCACTTGCAAAAGTTTCCCCCAATGGCAGCGCCTTAGCGACCTACTGCGGACGGTTGCGAATGGTTGCGAACGGTTGCGGACGGTTGCGAACACAGAAGCAACGGGTCGCGAACAAGACTCTACCCCCAGACCCCCAGAGTTAAACGAGAACCCTTCGCTACGCATTCAGGAAAAAGATAGGAGCTAATGCATTCCTCCCCCAGTCACAACATAGACATGCCCAATTCCATCCTTCGGCCGGTTCCGGCCTCACCCTGCGTCCGCCGCCGCTTCCGCTGGGGCGTCGGCAAATCACACCTGCGAGGGTCGGGCGGACCGAAGGCACGCGCGGCCGGGTCGGGGCCTGGCGCACTCGGCCGAAAAGGAGGGGAGGTGAACTATTGGATCGAGAATCAAGGTGGTTTAAGGGGTGAGAACATCCTACCCGCATCTACCGAACACCCACGTATTAGGACGTCCTTCTCCAGAGTGCGTGTTAGCATGTGTTAGCACTGACCGAGGTTGGCACGACGTCAATATGACTTTTACAAAGGGTTGGCCAATTTCATCGGCTGGCGGGTAGATATGGATGGAGTGAGGGGCGTGAGTGGAGTGCGTGCGACTGGGCCTTGGGGAATTCACGTCGCGGTGTCATGTTCGTCGCTTCAGAGAACGGCGAGCTCGTAGGAACACGCGCATGTACCAATAGAACTTGGTTGATCTTCCTGGCTCTTGTACCGGAAGCTTTCCTCAGTACAGATCCCCGGCCGTTGATATACACCTTCCAACAACCTGCTTCTTGCCCGGCCTGGACGAGGACGAGGACTGGCGCTTCGGCTCGCAGGCCATGGCGGCGGCGCCGCGGGTGGGGATCAGTCGTCCGAACAGCGACGAAGCTTCAGTAGGGGGTGTGGCTGATTGCGTGGCTGTGAGAAGGGGTGGGAGAAGCCCACTAGGTGACGTTGGCATGGGGATCAACTCCATCGTGGGTTGACTGTGTGGAAAGCTCTATATGATATATATGGTCTGTTTGGGCTGGTCGTTCAAAAATAGATGAAATTGTCTTACTATGGTCTACTGAGTGTACTGCCTCCAGGGTGATGGTTGTAAATGTGTCTTTTCCTCACCTCAATGTTGGTCTCATTGCCTGACCTTTACATACAAACACCCCTGCACCAAGCGCGGAGCCCAATAGCATGGTAGCGTTCAGACCACCGCAATGCTGGTGGAGAGCCCACCGCTGTTCCAGGGTTTTGAACCACATGTGAAAGAGATCCACAATTTGGATCTCTACACAGTTGATTCTTCCAGGACGGACTCGTTGCGACCTAAACGATTTTTGGGCGACCTCACTCTGTTCCTCGATGGATGGCGAACCGTCGCTCACGCGGCCCGGCGGCCCCGTGGACCGGAAACACCCCCGGATTCACCCCGAAAGAGGTCAACTCCGTGTTTGGGCTTCCTGGAGGGGCATCTCGAGCGCCAATCCTTCCAGCTCTCCATGCAAGGCCTCAAGCTCAGAAGTGACTGCTAGCCCTCGAGACATGCGGACTCATGCACACACAACCCCCGGCAAAAGCAAGAACGCAACAACTGATGCATGCGTATCAAGTCCATTGCGGAGGGGAGATGGATTTGTCAAGATACCCCCCATGCTTCTGACCGGAAATGATCTGGTGGCAAGAAGGAGGGCAGCACTGAACTTGAGGGCCCCCCTTTGCTCAAGCAAGGAAAGCTCAGGCAGCCGAAGGAACCTCACTCCTGACCATCAAAACAGCTCTTCCAACTGGACGTCGCGGCTTCGCAGAACGCTTCGCAAAGTGCTTCCTCCCTCCGGCACCGCCCCCTTCGGCCTCCCGCCGCTAGCTTTCGGCGTTGCAGGAGCCGCGGAGGACGCGTGTGGGAGCCCAAAAAAAGGATCAGTGGCGCGGGCACTGAGGGTCCGGTGAAAGCTTTCCTCAATTGCAGTTGTTGTTGTTGTTGTTGTTGTTGTTCTTCTTCTTCTTCTTCTTCTTCTTTTTCTTCTTCTTCTTCTTCTTCTTCACCATCTATCTATCTATCTACATATATATATATATATATATGAATGTCTTTCTTTTTTCTATCTTGCTATCTTTCTGTGTGTGTGCGCTATTCCATTCTCCAAAAATCAAAGGCCTCCGACCTTGAAGAAATCACCGCGGAAAGCTCCGAAGGTTGAAAGCCTTCAACCCACAGTGGATCGAGAGTAGATGGCACTTGGTTTATATGGACCCCCATCTTTAAAAAAAAATATAAAAGACATGTAGGGGTGCCAGTGCCATCTACTCTGAAACCATTGTAGTTGAATTAGCTGTTGGGATCCGGACCGCAGCAATGCTAGAGGAGACCTTCGGGTGTAGCTTGTCAGGCTTAAGCTCCAAGTCCTCGCCGCAAGCGGAACATGCACTCTGCACTGGCGTTGGTTGGGGAAAATGTGATCCAATGGGCCAAGGTTCATGAACTCTTATATCAATCATCATGAACTTTGAGAGGGTCGTGGTTGTTGTTGTTGTTGTTGTTGTTTGGTGGTGGTGGTGGTGGTGGTGGTGGTGGTGGTGGATGTTGGTGGCATCCATCTTTTTTTTGTCCACATGTCACATCATGAAAACCTCTTGGAGTCACTGCACAAAGCAGGATGAACTGTCCAAGCCAAGTCCTGATTGTTGAGGTCGGCCACCTCTTCCTGGCCCGGGAGCTGATCCTGGAACCAAGCAGCGAAACACGCACATTAACCTCAAACAATGCAGCTCGAACAGTCCTCGACAACGAGGGAGTTCAAAAAACGGTCAGCCTCTTCCTCAGACGGCGCCGGCTGATCGCAGGTCTCCACAGTAGCGACCGGCTCCAAGCCCAAATCTTAGCCCCACACCCCTTGCTCGGGCACTCTCATGATCAAATAAAGGTGTCCCAAGTGCCACCCCGCTCTCCCGGCCAAGAGCGAATATCTTTGCAAAGCTGAACATCTTTGCGGCCACCAGGGCTCCCCCAGCGGCATGACTGCATAAAGTTGAAAGCATGCCCCAGAAAAGGCCTTTGAAAGAAGATGCATCAAACAATGCCAGGTTTTCAAGCAGTCCTGAGCCGTAAAGCTTTCCCTTTCCAACCCTTCTTTCATCTTTTCATCTCCCTTGCCCTGAAGCATGATGCGCGTTAACGCCGTGCGCTGTCCGTTGCAGACTGCAGGGCACTCTGAGGTGCCCCCACCAAGCTGCTCACAATAGCTTGTGGGTAGGGCGCGGGCAGCATCCGCTGAACTAGCTGCACCAAGCGCAAAACCGCTTGGCCCAAGAAGCTGCTGGGCACCTTGCTTCCCAGCAGGTGGAGAGCGCAGCACTGACAGGCACCCCGGAGGGATATATATCAAAGGAAGAAACTCGCCCCCAAAAGTCCACGACGATTTAAAATTGACTTTAGTTGATCCAAACAGGACTTCCTGTTTAAGAATGGGAGAAACCCGCGCAAAATCCCCTTGTAGGTTGAAGATGTTGAACCTGGGAGCTCGAGTCATTGTCCGGAAAAAATCCGAAAGAAACAGAGCCACCATGAAACGACCGAACACATCGGCTTCCCTAGGCCCTAGGGCCCTAGGCATCGATCACTATCACATGGAAGACAAGTCCAAGGCCTTCCCCAGTTTTTGAGGCCATGGACATCCAGCAGGACGTACCAGGGACATCTCTCAGGAAGCGAACATAAGCTAACCAGTTTATCTCCGCCAAGCAGCCAGGACGATCGCACTCCCTCGGCCCACCAGCACGCATTCGGTGCCCACCTCCTGATGAAGCCGCGTGGCCAGAGCGCGGTGCCCGGTGTTTGTTCCGGTTCTTTCTTTGGGGAGGGACGGCCGGACGGGCTCCATCCAAGATCCTGCCCAAACCCTGGACTTCAAGACATGTCGATCTCCCGACTCGCCATGTGGAGCAAGATGGATGTGACCTGGGCTGCCTCTCGTCTCACCTGAGTCCGAGTCCTTGGATCTCAAGAACACCACCACCCTCGTCCGCTCCTTTTGAATGAAGGAGAGGAACTTCCGCACGTGACGCATCGAGGGCATCTCAGGAGGGTCGGACGGTCCAAGCCGTCCAGACAGTCGCCGGTTCTCGTCTCCAAAATGGGCGCTGAACCGGTGGACCAGGGACCGTGCAAAGCACCAGTCCTCTAAACAGGTGATAATTGGAAAGAAAAATGCGAATGCCCTCTCATGTCCTCTCTCTCTCTCTCTCTCTCGCTCTCTTGGACGGCCCTCACCGAGGCGGCCCGTGCGTCGGTGCGGAGCAGCAGCACCTGCAGCATGCATGCTGAAACGCCCATCCATTGTCCATCTCATCCTTTTGGTCTTCAATGAGGAGCCCCAGTTACGCCCAGTTATTCGTGAGCAAAAAGAGTTTTATGATGTTTTATAAGACGTTGTGGCTGATGTTCCGTCCATCGTGTTTCACCCTCACAGGTGCAACACCTTCATACCAAAAGAATTGTAGCGGACCTCTCAACCTCAACAGCCGAAAAGACAGTGTCCGGTGTGCCCGTTCACCCCACCCGTCCCTTTCCGTTCGGCGCCCCGCCATCTCGGGTCGCTGCGCCAGGTTCACCAACACACGCCTGGCACCACGTGAGGGAAGAGCTGCAGGTGTCTGGGGGTGGCAAGGCACCGGGGGATGCTGGGTGGCCGGCGGGGAGGCGGCCGATGGTTACATCGACCCATCTTGTCCCAAAGTCCCCAAAACGAGCTGTGGATCTGAGTGACTCAAGGTCTGCCCTTCAGCGATCGTCACATTGGGCCCCCCCCACAAAAATAGAAAACAAGAACGCGCCGCGAGGGCTTGTTGAGCTCACAGTGCACCCGCCTGAGTTGTTCCAGGATCTCATCCTCAGCGGCACGAAACACCCAGCAATGTATGTTGGCCTCCAACATTGAACCATTTGCCTGCAGCCCCTCATGTAGAGCTAACCTGGTACATGTCATCTTGTGATTTCACATGCTCTCCCTACACCAGCCGCGACACACGAATGAGATTCGATGCCAAAAATGCTGAGAACAACAGCAAACTTGCAGTGCGGGCGGCCATTTCTGAATTTCAGAACTGGAACAGGATTGCCAAATTGGGGTGACCTCTCACACAAACACCATTGAATCATCCCAAGAGATATGAACAAAATCAGGAGAAAGAAGAAAAAGCCCTCCAATCATCGAACCCTTCAGGCTTTCAGGCTTTAGGCCTCAGGTGTTATATCCATCTCACGCCGCGGCTCCAATGGTCCATCCTCGATGGGTGCGTTGTTCACCTCGATGTCCAAGTACCCCGTGTGGCCCTGATCGCGTCCAGCCAAGGGACGATGAGAAAAGGGAAAAAGGGCAGCTTTGGATCACAAGGTGCCAGAAGTCTGATGATGATCACCCCAAAAACCCTAAGTTTCTGGACCAAATGCGACTCCGAAAACGCGTGTCTGTTTTCGTGACGAGGAAGAGGCTGGTGCCGGGAAACCTGGAGCGGTACCACATCAGCCGGGTTCCAGGGATTTGGCTTGTGTGCCGATGATCCTCACAATGATAGGCAACTAGACATCGGCGTTGACGGAAGAGTTGAAGAGATCTCCTGCACCAGGAGCTGCTAGCCGTGTGATTGTCTTCATCAGAGTTCTTCTTCCAAGCGCAGGGCTACCCAAGGGCAAAGAACTGTTGCAAAAAAGCTTCCAACCAACCAACAAAAGATCTTTGTGCCGGTGCGAACCTGGCGCGACCACCCCCTGTCCTCTGCCACCACCGCTTCATGGAAACCCCACCTCTTCATGAAAGCTCATCTGGGCAAATGGCACCTTGAAGCGGTCAGGAGGATCCAAGGTGGCCAATAGCTAAGGCTGGCACAGATCAACACACTTCCCTCCACTAACATGGGCTCTCATACCCCATGTTAGAAAGATAGTCGAATAGTTGTTCAAGGGGGCCCGTTTCTCTCTAATCTTGTGCTTCTCTCCCAAACGAGAAGCACCTAACAGCCAGAGCTTCTTAGCTCGGGCCTCAACAAACCACGGACGGTTTAACAGAAAAAGCCCAAATACATCGACTCTCCACGGCCGTATCAAACATCACCTCCAGCCACAGCTTCCCCCATCACCACTCCCCTACTCTTCAGGCCTGAAAGGTGAAGGGCGACTCGATCGCTGCGTGCTGCGGCGGGATGTCAGACAACACAAAGGGGCAGCCCCAAACCGTCCACCTGGGCACCGGTCGTGACGGGGCATGGCACCGCCCAAAAAATACAGTAACACCATCGAGAAAAGGCGGTATGTATATATATATATATATAATACCAAGAACATGGTTTTGCACCTGGGTGGGGATGTTTTTTGGGATTTTTGGGTCCCACCTGGCTTTGGCTGTGGAAGGACACATTTTCTCCGCGAAGAGTGAAGCACCCTGTCTATCTGTGCGGGATGGGGATGGGGATGGGGGCTTCTTGGTCGCACGACCACGAGCGTTTCACGCAGAAGACGCATGGCCGACGGCTGGTAACAGCGTTTCCTTTCGTCACCAGGGGACGGGAAGAGAATAACAAATGGAAGATGTTTGAGTCAGCCACACTCAACTCGATGCAAACATCCCGCCATTGAACTTGACTTACCGTAACTTGCTGCAATCCCTGCGTCTTTGTCTGCGAGTGCAAAGGGATGGGAGTGGCTAAACAAGAAGGTACATGAGCAGGGATGTTCCCGCCGCTTCATCAGCGAAACATAAGGTTGAAAGGGCTCAAAGGTTCCTCACAAAGGTCATTCTCCAACCGAACTCCAGCCCCGTGGACTTCCAAAGGAATCCTTTGCAAAATAGTTCCATCAAGTTCCAATGCACAAAAGTGGATTCTTTTGGTGGGGCGGGGTTCCCCGCTTCACCTCGACCCACCAACTCAGACCGACTGCTTCCGACCCTCACCGGAACCTGCTGAGCCCACGGCATCCCTCTGGGAGGGGACGGCTTGCCACGAAAGGGGGGCCCATGGCCCGAGTACTGGAGCGCCAGGGTTTCGGAGGTCACTCAGGGTCCACTAAAGTCTGCTAGAGGCAGCAGCTCCCCTTGCTGGTATCATACCTGACGCCTTTCTGAAGCACGAGCTCGAAAAGGACATGGAATGTCTACAATTGGAAGATCTGCTTGGGCCCTCCCGGGTGTAGAAACACTCTTCAGCACTTGAGTCTGCTTAGTCACTTCTTAGTCACTGTGACCCCATCCAGTCCCGCCTTTGGAGTCCCAAAGACCTTGGCCTGGCCAGATTGGCTTTCCAGGACCCATCCTTAGTGCATGCCCTGGTTCGAACCGGAGGGCACCGGAGGGCACCGGAGGGCACCGGAGGGCACCGGAGGGCACCGGAGGGCACCTTTGGGATGAACACTCCTCATTACCAAAACAGTGAGGATGGTTCTTCCACTGGTGCGAGGATCATCCAAAGAAGACTATGTGGCATTTTCTTACCAAACGACTTTCGTTCGCCCAGCTTTGGGATTGGGTAAGCAAAGGCTTGGCTTTCGTTTCACTGCCTTTCAACCCGTGCGGGCGACAATTTGCTGGGTGGACTTGATGGACTTGAACTCAGACTCCAGGGGCCTGTCAGATGACTGACTCAATGAGCTGAGCTCGGGCATGTTCGTGCAAACTCTCGCGCTCTGGGGGCCTGACTAGTGGAATTTCCCTCACCCGCCTGAAGGCTGCTGAGTGAAGAGAAACTCAACCTGTGGTGTGTGTATATATATATATATACACATACTCCCTACCACATAAATACATTTATATAGCTTTAAAACCTTGTGGCGCATGTCGTCTACAGCAGGACCTGTTCCATCTACAGCTTCACTTCCAGCCTCGCGGAAGACGAAACGGTCCTGGCTTCGCACCGTTTCTGGGGATCGGGTGTGTTGTTTCTGTGTGCCTTCAGGCAGTGACCTACACTCCATCCAGTTGATGGGCAAGGCGCCAAAAATCACCCGATGTGCGCCCCATTCCCTCCAAGGTCCGGCCGCTCCTTGCCGTTGTCGTGATGAAACTTCGATAATCTGGAGAACTCCCAGGTGCCATCGGAGGCCGTGAAGGTGAAAACCACGCCATCCTCAGCGCTGCGCTTGCGAGTCGACACCGCGAAGCGAGGCGACCACGAGGAAAAGCGAACCGCCGGCATGGACACAAGGGGCACACGTGGGAGGGAAGTGTTGCGAATGTACAGTAAGTATAGTGCTAGTCCTCTAGCTTTGCTAGCTGCCAATCTTTGATAGCCACTTCTTGGCATGTGAGACGGATGGCAAGACACCCAAGACAGAAACACTTCCTCAACGGATGCTCGCTTTGAAGGACCCCAACCTCGAACTTCCACAAATCTAGCTCTGGCCTTGTGATTTACCAGAACCCACCATCCCACCTTTGCATCTCCCCAGGCCGGCTGAGGCGCCAAATCACAGATCAAATACAGGACAGACATGGGAAGAAACCTGCCAGACTCGGCCAAGTGGAGTGATGGACCAGGGGTTGAACGGGGCACCTGAAACGCGCCTCACAACCTTTTGGTGACGCACCGACGGGGGCAGTTCTGAGCAAAAGCAGGGCATGAAGGCTATCTCTGAAATCTGAAACCAGTGGTTCTTGGCCTTGCCCCCACTTGACCTCTACCCTTGCAGTTCCAACATCTGGAGGACAAGTCCAGTAGAAATGCAAATGTCGATATCATGGCTGCTTGCTGAGACTCAACTGGGGAGGGTAGGGTAGGCCGGGCATTTCAAGCTGCCACGCTTGAAACGAACCAAAGCAGAATCCCGACAAAATTGGCACACTCAAAGCCACTAGCTCACAATGCGGAAGCTAGCAGCCTTGTGGCACCTGGGACGGCCTTGTGACGGCGTTTGAGAACGTCCCGAGATTCCAAGCCCGGGAGTCACCACATGCACTTGAGGCTTGGGGTTCAACTCCGCCGGATCTAGGAACATACAGGAAGCCTCCGGTGGAATGCCTCACGGCATGCCAGCTTCCGGCTCTGCCATGGACTCTCTAATCCAAATGTCTGCATGTTCCAAACTTCCGCGGCAGCTGCTTTCCAATATCTATATATATATATATAGTACTCTGATCCAACCACCCGTTCTTTAGTCCACTTCACAGTCGCGTCACCGTCGCGTCACCTGCGACCGGTCCGAATTTCTATTGGATAGAGGGTCAACACCAGGGCTCCAGCCTACTTCTACCAGCCCGGCTGAGCCGGCGAAAAAAACACCGCCTGCAAGGAAGCGCCCATCCGTAAACCTTGGAACAAAGGCTTGAACTACTCAGGTGCCTTCACCCCTACATTTAGGTGGTTGGGTTCCTGTGGGTTTGACCCGGCAGATTCGTCAATTCCAAGAGAAGATTTGGACCCGCTGACCTGCTGCTCACCTACCTTGAGTGGGTAGCTGGTGGGTGGAGGGCAAATCAAGGATGTTTTGGCCTGTAGAATGTCAGACGGAAGGTGGAACAGCACTGCGAAAGCATGTAGTTATTTTGACTGTCTAGGTTAATACGTTGTACATGTCTTTGCGTTCTTGCACCCCACACCCCCGATGTGAGACGGTAGGACCGCGCGCTCACACACCTCTCAACTTGGGACCGGGCCCCTCAATCCGTGCAGCTCCGTCGCACGCCCCCAACTACTTGCGAGCACTGGCAGTGCGACCCCAGCATCCAAATCATTGGAAACACCTTTTTTGCGATGGCAGCTTCTAGCTACTAGTGGTATAATGGCCTCCAACCTACTAGCAATGGCCTCCAACCTTGTAGCTTCTGCTCCGCCTGTGGGTGTTGGCTGCTGTACCCGGCTGACATCCATCGGCTGCACGAACCTCTTGGGCGAAGGGCGATGACCTGCGAAACGGACCTGGAACTGCTAGGACCGTGGGATTCGGCCGTGCTAGGCTTTTTGGTGCCGGGTGCTTCAGATGGCTCTGGAGCCGAGAGCGCGCGGGCTGCTTCACAGTCTCACACTGTTTTACTGAAATGTTTACAAGTGATAAGTGACAAGCACATGAGGAAAAGTGTTCCTTCTTGACGTGGCTTCCTCCGGTGTTCCGAACGCCCGTCGGCGCCATGCTGTGCCGTGTGGCTCTCTCTCGCTGCGGCGCCATGCTGATCTCGCGAGGCGAACCTTTTCCCACCATCGGCCGGATCTGCCAATGATAGCCCCCAAGGCGGTCCTCGGCTGAGCAGCCCACAAGGATGCCACATGTGGATGTGCTTTTAAAGTAGTAGGTTATCTTCGTCGTAGCTTAGCAACCCATGAACCGTTCTTTTTGTCGGAGCCATTGAATAAGAAGAGAAACACTTCCAAACCGGAGGCACGTGCCTACTTGGCCTACTTCTTGAAGCCACTACAAGTTCACAAGCACCCATTCAAAATCATGCTTTCAGAACTTTCAGGATACCAAAAAGTTACCAAAACACCTCTTGCCTCTTGCAAATGTGTGTGTGTGTGTGCTCCTTGGGGGTCACTGCACCGTTTCTCGCCTGCGCTCCAAGACCGCCACTCCAGCACCCCAAACTCTGCCAAGTTGCTGCTTCCAGGGATGACTCTCATTCAGTCAAGGGCCCCTGCTCACTGCTGTTCCCATCATCACTGTCATCTTCATCCTCCCCTTTCTTCATCATCTTCGCACCTGCACAGCATCTCACACGCTCCCCCCATGCGAGGCGTCGGAGGCCGTCCTCGCCGGCACCGACCACCCCGCCTGCGATGCCGCAAATGCCCAAGCCCGCCGCGGAACCACCCACGGCCATGGCCCAGCCGAGGGCATTGGAGTTCTCACCTGTTGCCACCGTTCCGCGGTTCCACCGTGCGGTGGCCAAGACGGGCGGCGGCGGCAGAACCACCCGTGCCGTGTAGGTCGATCCACCAGACCGGATCCGCTCAAGTACAAACAGGCTCTCAACTTGCCAAGTTCATCCAAGTTCCCGAAGCCCACGTTCGCTGCCAATGTCTGCCAAAGCCTATATATATAATATATATAAGACTTCCCCGTTTGGGCAACCCTCTCGTCCAAAGCAGCCAAGCTATCGGATTGCAAACCACACTGATCCTCTCTTAGCAAAGCTATCATCAACATCTTGAGGACACCTAGGGGTCCGCCACAACTCACACTAGCAAAGCCAGCTCCACTCCTGCACTTATCCATTCCCTGCATGCAGGTCGCCCAGCACATCCTTCACACCAGCGGAGTAAGCCTTCTTCCTAGGAAGTGGGGAGGTTGAAGCCATCGGACGGTCAAGACATCCATAAAGAGGAGCTTTTTCCCTCTGCTCCCTCCCTTGCCTCGTCTTGGACTTTTCTTCGGATGAGCGCTTTACACTCCAAGAGCTTTCCTCATCCATCCCCCCATGAGCTCACACTCCTTCCAAAAGACTTCTTGCTCTTCTCGCCCCTTCATCCCCACCCTCCGCCGCCCTGAGCGGACCGTTCGACCTTCGTCCGCTCGGACCGTACCGCGTCATGCGGGGCCAGGCGTCGGACAGCCGGCCTCGATGGCTTGCTCCTGCGTCGGTAAGGTCGCAGGGCATCCTGCCACGATGTTGGTCACCTGGCGATCGGAACGAGGTCTGACGGAACGAGGTCTGACGGACCCATATCAAGGGACTTGGATTCTCACCCATGGCGCAAATGAACCGATGAACCTGAAGTGCTGTGTCGAAAATTGGGCAACCCACCGATGTGGGGTTGCTACCCTTGCTTGGGCAAGGCTGGCAAAACAGTTCAATGGACAGGTTCAATGCTCTTCCTGAAATTGCTCCAGGTTCTTCACATGTGCATTGATTTCTGGCCTCGCTGGGGACCCAGGATCCCACGCCAGCTTTACTGACGAACTCGGTGGTACGGCACTTCAGGTTGCTGATGGTGTCCTGTGGAGGCTTCGTTGAAGCTAGTAGGGCATGTCAAGCAGCTGAGAGGCTGCGAGAACCTGAGAACCTCTACCTAAAACAGCAATGACTTAATGACTCAATGACTCAAATCAGAAGGGACACCGTGCGGATTGTGTTTGACTCTTGAGGCTGGCGGGTAGCAAAAGGTTTGAAGTCCTCTGCCAACTTCAACTTCAAGGTATTTGGGCAAAACAGCTACAGTAGCTGAAACCTGCAAGGGTTCTACCGAAATGAACCCAGCGACCAGTGCAGGAAAGAAAGCCGGACCACTTTGTTGCTGTTGGCTCCGATCTCCATTCTCACGGCCAAGTCGCTCAAACCCCCGTGGCACGTCGATGGTCCTTGGTGGCCAGCACCGAGGGGCACATCTGCACGGAGGTTCCCTCAACAGCCTGCCAGGTTGGAATGACCTTGCTGATAGCCCTGGCGTTCTTCTCCTTAGCGCGCTGATGAAAGTTGCGTTCACGAACTGTTCGGCCCGAGAAGTGTGGCAACCCGGCCGACACAATGCAACACACCATGGACCATGCACCATTCGCCAAAGAAACAGCTGGGTTGCCCAGTCAACCCTGCAAGCCTCCAACCTCCAAACGTGCATCTCCAAGAGGCCGCTTGTTCCTTGAGGCTGCCCACGCCACCAACCGCCTGCTGCGCCTGTTCAAACCATGGGAGCGTCCTGTGTGAGAGGACATCAACACTACCAGAAGCCAACAAGATGAAGTGGTCTCAAAATGAAAGGTTCAAGCCCAAGCTGATGATCGGAGGTGACGGCAAACACATCCACCCCCGAACCAACAAGCCTCCCTAGCCCAGCGGCCTGCGAGATGATATCCAAGCGCCTCGTGACCTGTCAAGACGCTGCACGGCGTCAAAAGCAGCCTAGCAATTGGGCGGAGAAAAAAATAACACGCGCTCTTTCTTGCGCAGATCATCTCTTGCAACGATCTCAGCAACTGCTTCAGTGGCAGCTTCTCCAACACTTCCGGGAGTCCTCGTCCTCCGCTGAAAATCGGCTGCTTCTCCAGCCTCAAGGCCAGCTGCTCGACGGTTGCCAGGTCCGACACCTGTTGAACCTCAAGCAGCTGCCGCGCCCAGCGCCATGCAAAGCCCGCGGGCGCGGTGAGGATGGACTTCACGAGCGCATGCTGACTCATGCTGCTGCTGGGGAGTCTCATCTGAGACATCTGCGATCCCAAGATCAGGGCTGAAAACCAGGGAGCCGATTCACTGTACCGGCTTAAGATTAAACCAATGGAGATGAGATCTGCCAGGTTCTTGGAGCACATCTCATGAAAGAGCCCCGTGGCCAAACGCCAATGGCCAGAGTGCTCAAAGGAAGCAGCCACCGAATTGTACATGATCTCATGCGGCCTTAAGAGGTTCTCCTTCATTTTCCCCAACATGCACAAGGACTTGGGCCAAAGGTTGCAGTTGGCATAGGCAGAGGTGGTGGAACTGAAGCTGATCTCATCTCGAGCAGGCTCCGTGGCCAGTGTCTGCACGGACCACTCCCACTGGCTTCCGCGCGCACATGCATCCAGCGCAGAATTCAGGCTGATCGTGCTGCGGAGTGCAGGCCTACAAGACATCATCGCGAAGAGATCCTTGGCACAGCCCCACCTACCCCACACCGACCAAGCAAAAGGAATGCCCAACAACACCTAAAATGCTCACCCGTTGTCAGATGCTCTGGGTTCCAAGCCGAATCTCCCACTTTACTCATATAACTACTTAAGTTCAAAAAAACATATATATATATATATATTTAATCTGCACAATTCAATTCTCAGATTTATCACACATGCTAACATCAAACTGCACTCTCTCGCTCTGCTGACTCCTTCAGCGCTTTTAGACAGCATCGGAGAGATCCAGTCTTGTCTCATGATCGGCCTCCCTCTTCCTACGGCAGGGTTAGGCTGTATGGTACAAATCATGGAAGATATCAACTTCCTTAGGACCAGTTCCACCTTTCAGTGGTATTCTCAAGAACACGCTGTGCATTGGCAAAGGTAAAAGCAATCATTTGCGTCAATTCACGATCCAACGTGACTAGGGTTTCCCTTGTCACGGACATTCGCTGTGTCCATTGCGGATTCAGATTGTGGGTGTCAATGTTGTCCAAAACGTCATCGATGGACATGAGAGCGGTGCGAACCTTCTCGCGGAAGATCACGTAGCGTTGAAGCAGATGCAAATGAGCAACGAGTTGCTCCATAGGGTGGAGGGCGGGCCAAAAGCAACACGCGCAAACTAAAAGAGGTCCCACCCACCTCTCCCTTGAACAGAGACTACGTGTCATGAACAAATTCCGAATACAAGCTTCCAAGGAACGCAATGAAACATCTTCGAATTGAATCAAGTTTGTTTCACTAAACTGAAACAAATACGTTTCGATTAAATAAGTTCTTTGTCAACTTCGTCAACTGCATTCATTATTTAATCTGCACAATTCAATTCTCAGATTTATCACACATGCTAACATCAAACTGCACTCTCTCGCTCTGCTGACTCCTTCAGCGCTTTTAGACAGCATCGGGGAGATCCAGTCTTGTCTCATGATCGGCCTCCCTCTTCCCCCCATTCTTCAGGAGGCGCTCAAAGGCTTGCTCGCTTCATCCAGCACTGACCTCAAGTCTGGCATAGGAACCCTTGAGGTTTCCGGCAACAATTCGTGAGGCACCGATCTTGATGGTGGATCAGCTATGTTGCACTCTGAAGGCACTCTAGCGTACCATGGCAAAACGAACAACTCCTCTTCGACTTTGGCGAGGTGGTGCACAATGTTGCAAAGAACCGGGTTCTTGGAATACCCCTTCAAAATCAAATACCTTGCGGCTTCATTGTCGATGAAACACAACAAATGTTTGGACCGCACCAGGTCCTGCCACACTCGGAAGGCGACTAGGACAACAAAGGCTTCAAGTTCTCCAATCGCCTGCTCCTGATCCTCAGCCATGAAGGATTCACAAAAGTCGCGGCTTGCTTCTCCACCAAACCAGCTCACTACACAACCAGTCTGGTCGATCAACACTCCACCGACACCACCCTCTTTGGCTTCACAGTCGAAGCAAGCGTCCGTGAACAAGAAGAAAACGTCTCCCACATCAGCTTTCACGAGACGAGGCTGGGCATTCAACAACCGTCCCTTGACTTGAAGCATGGCGCTCACCGTTTCATCGCTCAGTACTCCACGTTTCGGAGGGCGCAACACATGCTGGCCAAGAACATTGATCAATCGCTTGGTCGCCCGTCCAAAAAGTTGACCTTCTGCGAATCCCAAGCGGCCTTTGAGAGAAGTTGCTTCATGAGTGGTCAACCTTCGGCTCGACAGGGCACGATCGATCTGGTTCGAGAGGTCCTGCTTCCGCTTCTCCGTGTTGCGAACCATGACTCTACCCTCTGAGGTCTCGGAAAGATCAACCATCACCCCCAGCGCGGAGATCTCGTGGCTCATGCTGTCAGACTTCTCGCCACTCACGTCATATCTCCATCCCAACAGGTCCAGCAAGAGGCAGAACGACTGGTCTGTGTTCCTGGCTAAGTTGCTGGGGGCCACGCAAACGTAGTCATCGAAGTAACACGTGACCATGATGCTCAAGGAGTGAGCGAGCCACTGGATCAGCCTGGCGCATCTGAGAAATCCAATCACAGACGCCTTGGCGCCGAACGGCAAAGAGTGCTGCTGAAACACCTCGGTGATCTTGAGGCTCGGGTTGTAGACGGCCAGCCGTGCCCACTTCAAAGAAGAGTCTGAGACCGCCAGCTGCCGGTATGCACTCTTCAAGTCGAAACTTCTGCCAAGCAACTCGGGGTTCACAGACTTGACCTCGCACAGGCGCATGTACTCGGCAATCATGGCAGCGATGCAATCCGTTCCGTCCACCGTGCACTTGCTTGTGACGTTGACGGCATCATTGACTTGGCTCTCAGAGTAGTTGTCGATGGGTCGAACCTTGCCTCCTTGAACGACTGCGAACCTCCGAGACAGACGGCCATGGGGCACCTCAGAGGGTGGAAGGCGTGAGAGCCAGCCCTTTTCCACCTCCTCGCAAGTCTTCTTCCATAGTTCTTCGTCGACCTCACTGTCGCCACTGGACTTGGTGGAATGAAAGATGGCCTCGTTGCTACTTTTGGCATGGTCGGCAAGGTCCTGGATGGACATGGTCGCTGGCTCAAAATCTCTGGGCAGAACGAGCCCTCCTCCTGCCTCGCCAACCAAATCAAACCCCTTCTCGATGAGATCCACAATGCCGGGGTCCGGGTAGTTCATGTCCTCAATGATCTCCCTGAGCAGCAAGATCCTTTTTCCTTCGAGGATCTGTCTTCTATGGCTAGGCATCTTCTTGTGCAGGTCTGCTTCTTGTTTTCTGAGCTCCAGCGCTCTACGAGTCCATTTCTTGAACCATGCTGCTCTGTCGGTCACGATCTTTTCGAGCTTTTCGTTCACATTGCTACGAATGGCATTGGAGAGGTTGGAGTGCAAACTCTCGAACAGGTGCACTGGGTGCCCCCTGAGTAGCGCTTCTTTGATGAATGCTTCTTCACTCCATGGAACGCCAAATGCCACTTCAAACATGGTTGCCTTCTCACTGCTCTTCCCCCCGTCTTGGTGAGAAGGGATCTGGGAGATGCGGAGGATGCGGGCATATGCTGGCAAGGTGGCATCGTCGGCGCCAAGGGTGGCAGGCAGCTTGGAGCCAACGCGAAACTTTGGTGCTCTCTGGAAACGTGCTGTTTCAACATGGCTGTAATCTTGCATAAATGCCAGGGACTTACGAGTTTGTTTGACTGTACTTGCCCTGGCTTTCTTGTCGGGATGTGCCGGCAGGACGGACTGCTCAAGGTCGAACTGTTTGGAGATGCTACGGAAAACGGCCGCTGCCCAAGCTTTGCATAACTCCAACGGGTATTCAACCTCCGCAGCTGTCGCGAAGCCTGTTTTTGTTCGGCCCCATGGCAAGTGTTTGTGATTTCCAGTGCAGTCACATGCCAACTCCTGCAGCTCTTTGATGTCGGTGGCGATCGCAGTTCTTTTGGGTCGGCTGCCACCGTACATGCAGGCACTGAACACGACGTAGATGGGCGTGAGATGCTGCAAAACCATTCTCCAAAATTTGGTCAGCCAGAAAATGGATCGCTCTGGTTGTTCTAGCGACCATCTGATGTTGTTGAAGTGGCAAAACAGAATCAAGCGACAACAGACCTCGTACACTTTGTTTGCTAGCCGAGCTCGTTCTGCATCGTCTCCTGTCAGCCATGGGAGACCTTCAGGGTATGCATCATTCCTCAAGGGCTGTGGCTGATATTCTCCATCGTTGAGGTCGATCTCGCGAGCCCGAGATGCAGTACCGCAAGGGATGCCCCAATGCGCGTAAGCACAGAGTGGATTCGATAACCAGCTCTTGGCAAGTGCTTCGCCATGTGGAGTTGTGAGGTCAACCTTGACGATGGGGCACTTGGATCTTGGTTTCACGACTCGATCGACTCCATAGCTGGAGGTCAAGCCAAGCGCTCGCAGTTGGGCCGTTAGGCCACCTGTACCGGAGCAAAATTCGATGCAGAACGGCCTGGTCTCTTGTATCTCGCCACCTTGTATAGGAACTGTATGGTGGTGTGGTGGCAGCCATCATGTTCTTCTTTGGGAAACTCTGCTGATCCTCTGCTTTGGAAACTGCTTTGACAGACATCTGCAGCAGAAGATGAGATCTGTGCTCCTTGTTGATCTTCGTCAGCAGGAGAAACTTTGAATTGAATTCTCGGGACGACATCATGCTTGGGCTCGTCCCCAGCCCACCCTTTCTGTCACTTATTGGGGCACGAGTAGTGGGGGTGGTTCGTGGCACA